CTAAAAGTTCTAAAAATTGCAGGTATTTGTATTTGCCTAGAGATCATTCTAGACGTCCTAAATATTCTAAAACTCTGAAAATTTTGAAGATTCGGAAGATCTTGAAGGTTGACGAACACAAGAATTCCTAAAATTCGGGAGATTCAAGCTCTGAGGTTTTAGAGATTCTTGAAACTTAAAGATTTTTAACCTGTATATCTTGAAGAGTTTTTACGTATGGAAAAAAATCCAGAATATCTGTAATTTTAAGGTTTAAAATTTTCTAGAAATCGTAGAAATTGTAGAGAATCTATATCTATTACCATAGAAATTCTAAATTTTCTTCAAATTTTGGACATTCTGAAATCCATTGTTATCTGAATTCCTAGAGATCACAATTTCTGCAGAAATGTTACAAATTCCCGAGGCAGGAGAGATTCTGGTTCTACTTATTTTAGAAATTTCTTTTAAGGTCCTTTATACAATTATAGATCATAGAAATTATGGACAAGCTTCCAAAAATTTCGAAAGTTCTAAAAATGAAATATATAAATTTGTATATATGCCTAGAGATCATTCTAGACATTCTAGATATTATAAAAGTCTGAAAATTTTGAAGATTCGAAAGATCTTGAAGGCTGACGAAAACAAGTAGAATTTCCTAAAATTCGGGAGCTTCAGGTTTCTAGAAATCTCTGAGGTTTTAGAGATTCTTGAAACATAAATATTTTTTAGCTAGATATCTTGAAGGGTTTTTCACATATGGAAAAAATTACAGGATGCTTATAATTTTGAGGTTTAAAATTTTGTAGAAATCTTCGAAATTGTAGAAAATCTATACAATGACCACATCAATTCTAAATATTCTTCCAATTTTGGACATTCTGTAATCCAATGTTATCTAAATTCCTAGAGATCACAATTTGTCCAAAAATATTACAAATTCCCGAGACAAATTCTGGTTCTATTTATTTTAGAAATTGCTTTTAAGATCCTATATTTAGTTTTAGATCATAAAAATCTTGGACAAGCTTCCAAAAATTCTAAAAATTCCAACTATTTGTATATATGCCTAAAGATCATTGTAGACGTTGTAGACATTCTAAGATTCTGAAAATTTTGAAGCTTCTGAAGATCTTGAAGAGCTGACGAAAACAAGAAGAATTTCCTAAAATTCAGGAAAGTCAGGTTTCTAGAAATGAATGAGATTTTACAGATTCTTGAAATATAAAGATTTTTAAGCTGTAGATATCTTGAAGGGTTTTTCATATAAGGAAGAAATTCCAGAATTCCTGGGATTTTAAGGTTTAAAATTTGACCAGAGAAACTTTCAATATTCTTCAAATTTTGGACATTCTGCAATCCAATGTTATCTAAATTCCTAAAGATCACAATTTGTGCAGAAATGTTCAAATTCCCGAGGCAGAAAAGATTCTGGTTCTATTTATTTTAGAAATTGCTTCTAGGGTCCTATATGCAGTTTTAGATCCTAAAAATCATACACAAGTTTCCAAAAATTCCAAAAGTTCTAAAAATTCCAGGCATTTGCATATATGGCTAGAGATCATTGTAGATGTTCTAAACATTGTAACACTGAAAATGTTGAAGAAGATTCGGACGAAAACAAAAACAGCCTCCTAAAATTCAGGTGATGTTTCCACAGATTCAAAGATTCCAGAAGTAACTGTATAATCCTTCCAGGGATTTGTAAACGTGCTTAGAGATCATTCTAGACGTTCTAAATATTCTAAAACTCTAAAAATTTTGAAGATTCGGAATATCTTGAAGAGCTGACGATAACAAGAAAAATTTTCAAAAATTCGGAACATTCAGGTTTCTGGAAATCTCTCAGGTTTTAGAAATTCTTGAAATATACAGATTTTTAAACTAGGTATCTTGAAGGGTTTTCACGTATAGAAAAAATTCCAAGATCCCTGTGACTTTAAGTTTTAAAATTTTCTAGAAATCTTAGAAATTGTAGAGAATCTACAGAAGAGATTCTGGTTTTATTTATTTTAGAAATTGATTTTAAGTTCCTATATATTGTTCCAAAAATTCCAAAAGTTCTAAAAATTCCCGGTATTTGTACATATGCCTAGAGATCATTATAGACGTTCTAAAACTTGAAAATTTTGAAGATTCGGAGGATCTTGAAAGCTAATGAAGACAAGAAAAAGGCCCTAAAATTCAAGAGATGGTTCCACAGACTCAAATATTCCAGAAATATCTGCATAATCCTTAAGTTCTTATAATTTCTAGAAAAAAAAAGCAAAGTTTTTTATGGTAGACAACTTGCAAAATTTTTCACATTTGGAAAGATTCCAGGATCCCCGTGATTTTAAGATTTAAAATTATCTAAAAAGTTCTGAAATTGTACTAGAAATCACTAAATATTCTAGAGATTGCTTTTAAGTTCCTATAGATCTAGATCATAGAAATCATGGACAGGCTTCAAAAATTCCAGGCATTTGTAAACGTGCCTAGAGATCCTCTGGACGATTTAGATATTCTAAGAGTTTAAGTTTAATCCTAGCATTCTTTTAGTTCCTAAAAATTTATGGGGATCTAGAAATTCTTGAAACATAAATTATTATTATAGTAGATATTCTATATAAATCTTATTTCTAAATTTGCTTCAGATTTTGGACATTTCATTAATTAATAAATTTATTAAATCATTATTGTTAAAAAATCATTCTACTGTTTGGTTTAAAACATTATCCAAAAAGTTCTCGTTTCGAATTCAAAATTTTCTGAAATCAAACCAGGAAATTTTGATCTTTGTCCACTTTATTCTATCAAAGTGTTTAGGGATTATGGAAAGCCGAAGTCAGGAGGCGGAGCAGTCCAACACCCCTCGCTAGTGGGTACCGAAAATACATTTGCGTGCAGTAGTAAGTTTCGACAATTAGGTACTTCACAGATCTTTCTTTAGCAAATAGTTTATTAGTGAATGTTCTAATAAGTTGCGTAGATGTAAAAAAGAAAAAAAAAGAGAATTTCTGCCAATAAAAATTAAATCAACTTGATTCAACAGGTGATCACATATTTTTTTTAATCTTCTTTGGAAAATTGATCAGGTGTAATTTAATCACGATATAATAAAAATCTTAATAATCCATCTCTTCTCCATTTACAATAAAAAAACTGTTTTCAACTACAAATTCTGATAAAGGCAGAGATGCTTTAGTTCGATTCCCAGGTAAGTAAAACATTTTTTATCTTAAAGTATCACACATTCGAGTAAAATAAAATATTCAAGTCAAAATTTTATCTAAATTTTAGACACATAATTAATTTTCTTAAAAACTACCGTATTTATGGCAACACAGCAGGGAGATTTTATTATGATCCCAATAACGAATAAATTATTGCCTTTGCCAGTCTTAAATATTATAGTTTGGAGGTGAAAGAACCACATCTGAGACCTAGTTTACAAAATTTTCACACAAATTTCTTTCGGCGAACTTTGCATAAAAACTCGTTTTCACAGTCTCCTGAAACCAAGAATTTTTTTCGAAACTCAGAAAAACATAGTTCTTGTAAAAAAAATACCAGTGATAACATTTATAGCTTATTAGTGTAATTAGGGCAACAACGCTCGAACAACCTCCCTAGCACAGACCCTCGTCAGCTTGTGACAGGGGACGTCTGCTTCTTTAAAAATTAAAATCAAATCTCAATTCCTCTAAAAATTTTATAACCCTACGTTTAATACCAACATAAAGAACTTGAACTCGACGTACGTCAAGTAAATCAACTCGGGTATATTTTTTTTTGTTTCCATTGCGAAGTCTCCGTGAAATTTTTATGAGCTTAAACATAAACCCGCTTGTTTTAGCTCATTTTGATTTAATAATTTTTAATCAAGCTGCGATTTACGTAATTGTTTTGGATTTCTGACCAAGACCATCGTTTTAACAATGCAATGATTTAGTATCCACTAAACATAAACTACACCAAAAACAAAAACCAAAACGTTGCTTCTTTCGTGCTGAGTTTGGAGCCGCTTTGATCTCAAAAATATTGACATTTGGTACAAAAATAGTCTTTCAAACATTGATGTTTAACCATTTTCATGAGTTATATGTTAGATAAGTTGTTTTCTTAAGTTTTCAGTGGTACTTACCTTGATTTATTAGGAAAAAACTACTGATTTAACACCTCGAGAGTCCGACAAGAATTCCCACATTATCCAAAAATAGCCCCTCGCAGGTGTAAATAATACAAAAAGCGGCCGACAAAAACCCGAAGACGCGTATTTCATGGTAATTAGATTTCCAAACATCACGGTCACAACCGACTGCCAACAATATTTTTCGCTGTGACGTGTCGTACATTTCAGCGAAAATAAAATAAAATGCACGATATCTATAACTTGCATTTTATTATTATTGCTTTAAAACCACGCAAAAACCTCTTGCAAATTTAAACATTTACGACTTTGGTTGTGCCAGTAACATTGATCGATTTTGCTTTTATATCATACATCACTCTATTTTACGGATCTTATTCTTAAAATATCTTTCCATCAATTTCTGCAGCGACCATCTGCGTTCAACGTGCATAAACACGCAGAAGTAATGTGGCTTTGAATGCAAAGAAAACCAGTGACCGGGAACGCACGACAATAAAGATTTTATGCATATTGCTTTAAATAATCATAAATCATTTGTTTATGTAAACTTATTGAAGATATGTTGTTTTTTCAGCTATTCAGGTTTTATTTCTTCAAAGAAAATGCGACGAAGGTGGTGCCACCTGTAGCAAAAAAATTAAAAATACAGCGAAATGTCATTTTTATTGGAATTTTTCCGGTTGATGCGAATCCGTATTGATGTTAGGCAACCAACAATACTCACGAGTGACTCGTTTTTCGAACGACCTCGCAACTATTACCAAAGTTACAAGAAAGTTTTAGTCACATTTCACTAATGTAATTACGAAAAACGATTTATTGTGGTAACAAATTACAATCTTAATAATAAAAATATATAATAATTTAATGAAAATAATATAACTTATTTTCTTACTGTTTATTAATAGTAAAAATACAAAAGTTAGTGGGCAGAAATGCTGACTTGCCACACCCTAATTGTATTGTCTGAATACCCAGCGAACAAAGTTTGCCCATCAGTGGACCATGCAAGGGACAAACATTGTGGGGGCTCAGCTTTGCTCAGAGGTTGAGATACAACCTCAGGTCTGAGTTCTTCAACCATTTCCTTGCTTTCCAAGTCCCAGATTTTAATAGAAGGCCCAAAGGCAGCGCACAACCAGTACCTGGAAATAATTCAACCATAAAACCTGTATACACCCACACAGACAAATTAATGGTCCTTGGACGAAAATCAGTCCCATATCCGCTTAACCTCTCATAACAAATCAAGGGGTCAAAATTACTATCATCACAATAAAATAATAAATCCAAGACACAATTTTGGAAACAATTATTACCTATTAGGTGAGAAGCACAATGCTGTAATGATGTCATTATGGTCAAGCGTGTGTAAATGCTTCCCATCATTCAGATCCCAAAGCATAGCTTTGCAATCCTTGCCTCCACTAGCACACAGACTCCCATCAGGAGAAACCGTGACCGTGTTCAAGTATCCTGTATGTCCCGAATGGTTGATCTTCAGGCGACAGTTAGTCAAGTTCCAGACTTTAACCATGCGGTCCCACCCAGCCGAAACAATAATCGGATTGGAGTGATTAGGGGAGAACCTAACGCAAGAAACCTAACCAGCCAATGAAACCCCACCACGTGCCACCATATTTACCCAATCAGAGTGCCCATCATCCTGAATCGTGTATTTACACTCAGCCAAAGTGTTCCACAGCTTGATGGTCTTATCGCGCGATCCTGACACGATTTGCCGGTTATCCACGGAGAAAGCCACACTTAAGACATCCTAAACAAACGCAAATTTAAATGGGCGGTTAGCGATCACGTGCTAATAAATTACGTAACAGTAATTCTCACAATACTTACGAAAGGACCCAACTTCAGACGTCGCAAATATTACAATAAAACAAAAAATCTTCCAACTGTTTGCAACGTGAGAATTTAATACTGTTTGAGCTGTAAGTGCGTAAATCAAACCTTTGTGTGGTCTTCGAACCGGCGAGTCGTCTTTCCGGCGGCCAAGTCCCACAGGCGCAGAGTCTTGTCCCAGGAACCAGAAAGGGCGTAGTTGCCGTCGCTGGAGAGGACTACGTCGGAGATAAAATGCGAATGGCCGTAGAGACGCTTCTGCGGAACGCCGTACTGGGTTTCTTCACGTGTCAATTTCCAGACGATGAGGGTTTTGTCTGGAACGCAAAATCGTGAATTTTTGGACTGGAGAGTCGAAAGGGGGTGTTTTGGGGGTGATCGGCGGGCGAATGGGGCTCGGATGGGTGTTAAGAGTGACAATATTGACAGATTATGGGGGCCCGGCATGGCCTACTACGTACCTCGTGACGACGATAAAATCATGTCTGGGTATTTCGGGTTAGTTGCGATTTGCGTAATCCACCCATTGTGACCCAGAAGGGTCCCTTTTAATTGAAGAGTTTCGGACATTTTTGGAAATAACACAACCGTGCACGTTCGAGTCCGCAGCGGAAAAGAAAAGTACGAAGGACGGAGTTTGTTGCCAACGTGACTACTCGATTGCAACTATGGCAGTCAGCGCTGCCAACCGAAACTAGGGACAAACGCAGCTGTAAAGCGCATACTCCGACGACAGTTTGGGCCCGCCGATTTTCAATCAACTCGATAAATATTAAAACAAATAATAATAACAATAAAACAATTAACATTTTGAGTGAAATTGTTTTAGTCGAGAAGGACACTGCCAACCGTCTGTCACTTGTAGTCAAGTTCTACCAACTTCGACGTCGTAATTACTATTACTTTGGTGTAATTTTCTGCGTTGTTTGCGTTTTAAATCGACGATTGTGTCCGTTGTGTCCGGTTTTGTCGCTTTTATTGACCACGTTTCGGCACATGGGGTGTGTTTTTTAACCCTTTTTGTCCACCTCCGGCCATTTTCAAACCGGCCAATCGCGTCGCCTGGGCAGCGGCAGAAACAAACGACCTTCAGGTGGGAAATGTCAACAAACTGTCAACTTCTCTGTTGAAAAATTCATAAACGGAATGAAGCCCCCTCAAACCCAAAAGTCCATCAAGTTCCGCAGTCCGGGTACCGGTCCGGGCTTAATTTTGGACAAACCAGCCAAGGTAAAGGAGCTTTGACGGGAGATATTCGAATTTCCCGGTTCCGGTGTAAGTACATAAAGCCCCCGCTAGGGGGATCGTCAGTCTTCAGAAATACACCACACGTTCGCCATTTTGGTGTGTTCATCAGAGAAAATATAAAAAGTAAAATAACGAGTGATTTATGTAGATAAAGAAAGCGAATTTCGTGAAGTTAGTGTAATTATTTATAACATAACTTATTTTTGTGTGTATGACCAGATACCGCTAGCAATGGATGATAAAGCGTCGTGTAAAGAACTGGATCAGTGGATAGAACAGTTAAATGACTGTAAGCAACTATCGGAGAATCAAGTAAAGACACTCTGTGATAAGGTAAATAGGGTTGTTTTGTAATAAATTCGATATTTGTTTTGTGTGCGTAAAGTTATCGTTTGCTTTCGTTATCTCGCCTAATGTAATTACGGTGTTATTGTAATCACCAGATGATTAACACGGAGTTTACTACTGCTCCTCAATATTTACTATTCCATTTAGCGTTATCAATAAGAAAACAGACGCTCGAGATCCTCAAGCCCCATCTTTAATTAAATCTAATCAAACAATAGCTCGTAATTACCTCAGCCGTGATTCATCGAGTGATGTCAACCGTTTTCGCTAATCACGCAGCCCCCTTTTTCAGGCGAAAGAAATCTTGTCGAAGGAGTCGAACGTACAAGAAGTAAAATGCCCCGTAACAGTCTGCGGAGACGTTCACGGCCAATTCCACGACCTGATGGAGCTGTTCAGGATAGGAGGAAGGAGCCCGGACACGAACTACCTCTTCATGGGCGACTACGTAGACCGTGGTTACTACTCGGTGGAAACAGTGACGCTGCTGGTAGCGCTCAAAGTCCGGTACAAAGAAAGAATAACGATCTTAAGAGGCAATCACGAGTCGAGACAAATCACCCAAGTTTACGGTTTCTACGATGAATGTTTGAGGAAGTACGGTAACGCCAACGTTTGGAAGTTCTTCACCGATTTGTTCGACTATTTACCGCTGACGGCGCTCGTCGATAGTCAAATTTTCTGTCTGCATGGAGGGTTGAGTCCGAGCATCGACACTCTGGATCACATTAGGGCATTAGATCGTTTACAAGAGGTGAGTGGAAGTAGAGTGTGACGGGAGAATTCGGAATTAGGTGAATCAGATGAGTTGGTGGTTTATGCTTCAGATATCATATCTGAATTGACACACTTCTGGAGGTGTAAGCGCTACTGATTGGGCGGTATTCTGAATCTGGGTGATTAGTAAATTGAATTGCGAAGGTGCTTAATTGGGTTACGTCATGGGTTATTTTTATCGTTATTTATGACGGGTAAATTAAAATTGAAATTGGTCGGGTTATTAAATTTTATTTTTGGAAATGCGCGTCACGGTTTTTTAACCAACGATTTTTATCCGTTTAAAAAAACACGTTGTGCACACCCGCGGCGGCAAAAACAATAGGTCACGTGGTCATTTGCGACCAATGAATGTTGAGATTTCAAGGTCAAACACTATAATTGGTTTAGGAAGAGCACGTGACATTGTATCACGTATGCGTCATAGATGACGTCGATTAGCCAAATGCGTGACGCCCGATCTGATTCATACTAGAATATATAGGGTGAGTCAAATCGAATTGTCTGGTTTCAATTTTCAACGTGTCGTTAGTGCCGAACATTATAAGTTCATTTTCGTTTGACACCCTATGTTAGTAATATTAATAACGCTGATACGGAAATTTTATCATAATTGAAATGTCGGTTATTATCCATGTTTGCAGTTCATTCCGGATATTTCACCTCGGATTAATACCTTTTTCAATCAAACTGCTATTGATAAATTGCCGAAATTTACCTAAACATTAATGATAGAAAAAAACGATAGTTACGGAAACACTAATTTAACGGTTTAAATTAGTGTTTCCGTAACTATCGTTTTAACTTAAAAAAAAATTGGTCGAGGGTTATTTCGACATAACTTCCCTCGCACCAAACATACAAAAAAAAAAAAAAAAAACAAATTAAATTTTCCGATTTTGCAATTTTTCAATTTTTTTGGTTATGTAACTTCCTTGTCGATGGATCTTGCAAATTTTCTTCTATGTTTTAATGAAACGCCCTTTTCTCTCCATCTTTTATATATTATTTATTTTCTGTTATTGGTTTCGTGCTAAACACTGCCCTTTTCATTTTAGACCGTCTGAAAAAGGCCAATGTCTAGCCCGAAACCAGTAACAGAAAATAAAAAAGATTGAAATGTGGAGAAAAAAAACTTTATTAGAAGTTCTTTATTTCAATTTTTTTGATTTTTCGCTTCTTCAATTTTTAATTTCTCGATTTTTCAATTGTTCATTTTTTCCATTTTTTCGATTTGCAATTTCTTGATTCGCTTTTTTATTTTCTTTATTTTTTCAATGTGAAATTGTTTCAGTTTTTGGATTTTTCAATTTTTTTATTTAAAATTTTTCGATTTTCAATGTTTCGGTTTTTCAGCTACTAGAGTTTTTAAATTTTCGTTTTTCAATTTTAGATTTCTCAGTTTCTCGGTTTTTCAATTTTTCCTTTCTTGAATTTTTGATTTGCATTTTTTTAGCCTTCCTTTTAAATATGGAATGATTGTAATGTAATAGATTTAATTAAAAAAAATTTTCATTTAGTCAATTTTTAAGTTTTCAATTTTTCGTTTTTCCAGATTTTCGGTTGTTCAGTTTTTTCCAATTTTTAGTTTTTCGATTTTTAACTTTGCAATTTTTCAGTTTTTCGATGTTTCAACTTTTCAAATCAGAAAATGGAAAAATTGCAAAATTAAAAATCAAAAATGAAAAAATAAAAATTGGTGAACCGAAAATTAATTTTCTTTTAATTTTTCGGTTCTTTAATTTTTCAATTGTGAAGCTTCAAAGTTGAAAAAGTGAAATATTGTAAAACAGAAATATTGAAAATTAAAGAAATCGGAAAACTGAGAAAACCAAAAATTTTATTAAAAAAATAAAAAATGGGTTAAATTGAAAAATAAAAAATTGAAAAGTATAAAATGAAAACTTCGAAAAAAAATGGAAAGCAGCAACTTAAAAAATTGAAAAACTTAAATGAAAAAATTCAAAGTTAAAAAAATGCAAAATCGAGAAAACGAAATACCGTAAAACCGAAATATTGAAAATTAAAGAAATCGGAGAACTGAGAAAACCAAAGATTGAAAATTTAAAAAATTGAATACACGAAAAAGTATAAAATCGAAAGAAACATTGAAAAAATAAAGGAAATGAAAAACAAAAAATTGTGATATAAAGTCGACAAAATTAAAATTAAAAAAAAACGGGAAAGTGAAATAAAAAACAGAAACCTGAACAATTGAGTAAACGAAAAATTAAAAATTGAAAAGCTGAAAATTCGAAAAGTATGTCTAAAAATTGAAAAGTTGGAAATGGTAAAAATTTAAGAAACGAAAAATTGAAAAATTGGCTACTCGAGAAATTGAAAAATGAAAAAATGAAAATTGCGATATCAAAAAATTATAAATGAAAAACTGAAAAATGAAAAATTTTAAGAAATAAAAAACTGCAAAAATTGGCAAGTTGAGAAATTGAAAAAATTAAAAAAAATTAAAAATTGTGGTATCAAAAAATATAGAAAAATCCAAACCTGAAAAATTGAAAAATCAAAATATTGTAATTGAAAAATTGAAAAAAACAAATAAAAACCTGAAAAACCAATAAACCAAAAACAAAAAATGGCAAAATGGAAAAATTACTTACCGAAATATTGAAAAAACCAACAATTGAAAAATTTAGAAGTAGAGAAAAAAATTAAAGTTGTAAAAACGAAAAAATTATAAAACCGAAACATTGAAAAAATAAAGAAAATGAAAAAACTGAAATAAAAAAATTAAAAAGTATAAAATGAAAACTTCGAAAAAAAAGGAAATCAGCAACTTAAAAAATTGAAAAACTTAAATGAAAAAATTCAAAGTTAAAAAAGTGCAAAATCGAAAAAACGAAATATTGTAAAACCGAAATATTGAAAATTAAAGAAATCGGAAAACTGAGAAAACCAAAGATTGAAAATTTAAAAACTGAATACACGAAAAATTATAAAATCGAGAAAATAAAAATTAAAAAAAAAAACAAAAAAGTGAAATACAGGAACCTGAACAACTGATTAAACGAAAAATTGAAACTCGAAAAATTAAAAACTGAAAATTTGATAAAATGAAAAATGTGATTCTTAAATTGGCAAAATTGAAAAGTTGGAAATCGAAAAATTTAAGAAACGAAAAATTAAAAAAATTGCAAATCCAGAAATTGAAAAAATAAAAAAAAATTAAAAATTGTGATATCAAAAAAAAATGAAATATAAAAAACAAGGACCTCAACAATTGAGTAAACAAAAAATTGAAACTCAAAAAATTAAAAACTGAAAATTCGAAAAAATGAAAAATTGAAAACTTGGAAATTAAAAAATTTAAGAAACAAAAAATTGACGAAGTCCAGAAATTCAAAAAATTAAAAAAATGAAAAAATAGAAAATTGTGGTATCAAAAAATATAGGAAGATACAATAACTGAAAAATTAAAAACTTAAAAAGCAAGGAAATCAAACATTATAAATTGAGAACTTGAAAAATTGAAAAATCAATCACCGAAAAACTTAAAAAACTACAAAAAAATTAAAAAACGAAAAATTCAAAAATTTAGAAGTAGAGAAAAAAATTATAAAATGAAAACTTTGAAAAAAATTGGAAATCAAAAACTTGAAAAATTGCAGAACCGAAAATTAAAAAACTTTAATTTTTCGGTTGTTCAATTCTACAATTGTGAAACTTCAAAGTTGAAAAAGTGCAAAGTCGAAAAAACAAAATATTGTTAAACCGAAATACTGAAAATTAAAGAAATCGGAAAATCGGAAAACTCAGAAAACCAAAAATTGTAATATTAAAAAAATTAAAAATAGGTAACTCGACGAATTAAAAAATCAAAGGTCGAAAAGTTTACAAATTGAATGCACGAAAAATTATAAAATCGACGAAAACATTGAAAAAATAAAGGAAATGAAAAACAAAAAATTTGATATAAAATCGAGAAAATAAAAATTAAAAAAAAAACAGGAAAATGAAATATAAAAAAATAAGAACCTGAACAATTGAGCAAACGAAAAATTGAAACTCTAAAAATTAAAAACTGAAAAACTGAAAATTCGAAAAAATGGAAAATTTAAGAAACGAAAAATTTAAAAAATAAACAAAAAATATAAAATTAAAAAATTTAAAAACAGGTAATTCCACGAATTGAAAACTAAAAGATTCAAAATTTTAAAAATTGAATACACGAAAAATTAGAAAATCGCAAAAATTGTAACATAAAATCGGGTAAATAAAAATAAAAAAAAAACAAGGAAAATAAAATATTAAAAACAGGAACCTGAACAATTGAGAGAAAAATTAAAACTCGAAAAATGAAAAACTGAACATTCGAAAAAATGAAAAATTGTAATATCTAAAAATATAGTAAGATCCAAAAACTGAAAAATTAAAAATCTAGGAAATCAAAAATTATAAATTAAAACTTGAAAAATTGAAGAAACAACATTTGATAAACAAAAAATTATGATATAAAATCGAGAAAATAAAAATTTAAAAAAACAAGGAAAATAAAATATTAAACACAGGAACCTGAAGAATTAAGAGAAAAATGAAAAACTTAAAATTCGAAAAAATGAAAAATTGTAATATCTAAAAATTGCAAAATTGAAAAGTTGAAAATCGAAAAATTGAAAAATTGGCAAGTAGAGAAATTGAAAAAATAAAGAAAATGAAAAATTGTGATATCAAAAAATATAGTGAGATCCACAACCTGAAAAAATCAAAAATTATAAATTAAAACTTGAAAAATTGAAGAAACAAAAATTGAAACGTCAAAATATTGTAATTGAAAACATTGAAAAATAAAATCGAGAAAATAAAAATTAAAAAAACAAGGAAAATGAAATGTAAAAAACATGAACCTGAACAATTGAAAAATTAAAACTCAAAAAATGAAAAATTGAAAATTCGAAAAAATGAAAAATTGTAATCTCCAAAAATTGCAAAATTGAAAAGTTGGAAAATGAAAATGTAATA